TCGATTAGCTCGGGTGATTTTTTTAAATAATAATAATTTAAGATAAGAATATATAGAATATATAGAATAATTTATATATAAATATAGATATATAGAATAATTTATACATAAATATAGATATATAGAATAATTTATACATAAATATAGATATATAGAATAATTTATATATAAATATAGATATATAGAAAAATTTGGAATTATTTAGATAATATTTATATAATTTATATTATATATTAATAATAATATAGATATATAGAATAATTTGGAAGTATTTATATAATATTTATATAATTTATACATTTATATTATATATTAATAATAATATAGATATATAGAATAATTTGGAATTATTTATATAATATTTATATAATTTATACATTTATATTATATATTAATAATAATATAGATATATAGAATAACTTGGAATTATTTATATAATATTTATATAATTTATATATTTATATTACATATTAATAATAATATAGATATATAGAATAATTCAGAGGATTTTTTCATTTCAATTAAACGTCTCAAGGACGCGGTTTTTAGAACATTAAAAAATACTAATGGGGAAAGGGTAAATTGGTTAAACATATTTTGGATGCGATTTTCGAGAACTGATTCATATAAAATGTTCTATGAAACATCAATGAATGAGGATGCACTATTCAAAACTCTGGGTTTACTATCGCGTCTACTAACTAAGAAACTTTAACAATATTGAATTGACACCACTGTTACAAAAATGTAAGACCAATCACAACACTAAAATACAACGATACAATGGACTTATTACACTAAATGCCACCTGTACGCCATAATTATTTTAAATCCCTCCCGCNATACGCAAATTGGGGAAGAATGAATTATAAATCACGAAATATTATTTGAGTGTTACATTTCTTTAACAGTGAACTAAAGTTGGATACTTTTTAATTTTACAACACAAAATTGTAATAATTTTTTTTATTTTAAGGGAATGTTATCTTTTTCAAGGGACTTGTGCCTTTTCAAAAATTGAAAAAGTTATTTCATCAATTTTGAGAGTGGCTCAAGTCCATTTATAGCCATCGAAAACGTGTTATTTTCTAAACAATGTTTCTCATACTAACTGGGTTGATAAGTTATACATCCTTAGAAATACAAAAACATTATACTACCGTGTTATCAGTTACCAATATTTTTAAATTTATCAAAACGCTATCCGTTAAATATCTTGATTTGAAGATAAATTGATTTGTCCTCGAGATCTTTACTGTTTTTTTTTTCTGAGTCGCTTAAGAAAAAAAAACTGATCAGAACGTGATCTCTGTCCTTGATCTCTTTTATGTACAATAGACACACAGGTGTGGTACGAATTATAGTGTATAAATTTCTCAGTATGTACTTATTATAGCATACAATTTTTAAATTTCACTATTATTATTATTACTGTATTTTATAATGGAATTATTAGTTATTACATTAAATCATTAAAAAGATTTGTTCACGTTGTCTTTTATTTTCGATATTTATTTTCAGACAATACGTAATTTGTATAATGTGTGTGGATTTTACTTTTAATATTCAGTATTTATTAATGTACAATTTTTAAACGTACACTTTGCAATACAATCAATATATCAATCCATTAAGAAAATTTATACGTGTTATACAAAATACGTTACGTGTGTGAATTTTACTTTTAATAGTATGTATTGTTATATACATATTCACGTGTATTTTGTAATATAAATATGGCAAAATAATATAATAACATAATAATATAAATAATATAATATAATATAATATAATAAAATAATATAATATAATATAATAATATACATAAAATAATACATAAATGACAAAGTAATATAATATAATAATATACATAAAATAATACAT